CCATTACTACTTGGGATGCAACGATATTTGATACAATAATAAAACGTTTCGATACACATGTTGGGTCGATATGCATTTGTCCGTCCATGTGTGCTATAATTTATTTTGTTCTGAAAGAAAGTTATCGCAGTGTCTTCCTCAGATGCAACCCTAACCCTAAATATCCAGCTGTTCGACAATCTCCCAAAATAAACTTTGTTAAGCTTAAATTGTTTCTGCTCGATTATAAGAGTTTGGAGATCGTTTGACACACAATTCAAAAATTGCGATCATAATTCAATTAATTGCACAGTCTTAGGTTACGTTCAGACTGCAGCCTGAAGTGACCCAAATCCGATTTTTTGGCCCCTATGTGACCTGTATCTGATCTTTTAATGACAGTCTGAACGACACAGATCCGATTTTTTCAAATGTGACCCAGGCCACTTGCACATGTGGTCCTGAAACCGATTCATATCCGATCTTTTGACATGTGACTTCAGTCTGAACGGCCGAAGCGCATTCATCCTACCTACATGTTATCAACAAGCCACAAACGTCACTATTCTGCGCTGAAGTAGGCGAACATTGTTAATGAACTCCGTGTCACTGAAGTGAAGGGCATCACCACTCACCACTCAACCTCGTCCTTCTCCTTCTCAATCTCCTCTTTAAAACAAGTAAGTTATACAGGTTCTGGCTCCAGTACAAGAGAAACTTTAAAATCTCCAGGTGCTCAATGCTCGCGTCCATGTTTGGACAACTTCCGTAAACACTGAGCAACGCTGTGGTTGACGACATCGTGTCCTCCAGTGCGCATGCGGGACACTTTTGGGCCGTTTAATGTTCACACTGGAGTTCACATAGAAGTCACATTTAATTGGAAATGTGAACGACCTCGCAAAAACATCGGATTTCACAAAAAAATCGGAAATGAGCATTAAGCCCCGCAGTCTGAACGTAGCCTTACTTCATATTAACCCAGTCTACATGATCCTGGTGTTTTTATTTCACTATTTTGTTCGTTAATACATTCCTTTTCCTAATATGGACCCCCACATTTGCCCCTATAACTGCTACCCTCGGTGAGTTTCATTTGACTCGATCCGAACGCGATAGTTGACGTCACGCTTCCTTAGTCTTTACACAGTCTGTTAGCGACGCACTAGTTGAAAACCTTGAACCAAATCAGGATTCAGATTAACACCACAAAGCTAACACAATCCCCATGTTTTATTCACGCACATCACAACATATGTCATATCCAAGTCCATTTCAACTCCTTTTTCCTCATCTGACGTGGCACCCGAGCACCCCACACACTGTACAGCAACCGCCCACCCAGCCAGCCAGCACCGTAGCTTTGATGTTACCTGCTGCATTTCTTTGAACTGACCAAAAACAATGCAAAACCTCCCTTTCATCGCTCCCTGGGCATGCTGGGAGGGTCAAGTCTCCCGGGGGGGCGAGGCGGGTAGGTGGGTTTGATTGGCGAGCAGAAGATACGGACCTCCTCTGTGTGGTACTCAGCGGTGACAGTTTGAGTCCTACCAAAAAGCACGGTTTCTGATTGCAACTCCCCAAAAAATCACTTGAAAATCCAACAGCTCGCAATCAGGACAGTGAAAGGCCAACCTCCCACCTAGAAGCTTAAATATGATTGGCGGTTGTACTTTAAACGGTCTATATTCTCTGAAATCTACTTTTCTAAGGTTGTAAGGTTGTAAGGTTGCTGTTTCCTTATCAAAAACAGAACTGAAAAAGCTCTGTTACACCTTGTGACATCATTTAAGGTCCCATATGGTTTCTTGTGAGCTTTAAGGTATGTTCTAATGTTGTTACCTCATGAAAAACATACCCGGAGTTGTGTTTTGTGTTGCTGTAGACAGACTTAGGTTACATTTACACTGAAACAAATCACCGTATCACCATATCGGAAACAATCTGCATCCAGACATGATCCACACAGTAACACGAAACTGCCTGAAACGGAAGTCACATGACTAGACTGGTATCATGTTGTCACAACATCATATGGGCGGTAAAAACAAGGAAATGGAGCACCGTGTTTGAAGTTGCAGCAGCCGATTTTGAGCTGAGGAAGATGGCAAGCGTGAAAACTGTCTTTTCTACTAGCAAGAAATTCTAGCTACTCTTTTTCTCGTTTGTTTATGGTTTGTTTAAACTGTTTTCCATAATAGCATCACATGACCAATGTCACGAACCCAATGAATCAGAAAGGCACAAGTCACAGTGACGTGGTCCAATAAGAACGGCAACTAGAGCTACTACATGAGCGTATCAATGTTTTCAGGCGTCCACACAGTGCCAGATCAGATCTGTACTCCGATGAATTCGTGGGAGCTGCTGGCACCAGATCATTTCTTCTCTGGAGCCGTTTTCTATTGGATTTTTGTGGACGACCACTAGCCTGATTCATCAGCCAGTTTCACTTTGTTTCACTTCGTAGAACCCATCTGATCTCGCAGTGTTAGATTTTGTTCGCTCGATGGTAGGCGGGTGCTTTGCTTTTTGCTGCTAGTTTGGTCATGACGTATGTAATGCGCGGCTAATGGGGTTAACTGGTGTATTAAGCTTTTCCCAAATCCCGTAGGAAGAAGGGCAATAACGTCTTTCCCCTTGATGAAATTCATCAAAAGTTCTCTTTAAATCCTCGATCTCGGGAATCGCTGACAACACAGAATGTATGACTCTTTGCTGATTGGCTGGTGCCCGAACTCGCACTTCCGGGGTTTTTGCGAACTGTCTAGTGTATTTTGATTCCTGACATAGTTGCTGAAGAGAAATGAAATTGAGCCAAGGCACTAGGTGGCGCCAGCCTGGCAAGACAACCAACTGCATCTATAACAAAAATGACTCAAATACGTACTAGTGTGGGGCCTTAATAATAAAATATTACTCGGAACATGTGTGAATGAAATGAAACAAAACACAACTCTAGGTTTGTTTTTGAGGAGTTAACAACATTATAACATGACTAAAAGCTCACAAAAGTCAATTTTGCATATTATAAACCTTTAACATTTCGAGACATACATGACTACGTACATGTGCAACCACACACTGATTTTCTGTGGTGAATTCGTTACCAAAAACAGCATTTCTGGACAGTTTTCCCCAGTCATCTCATTGTATAATTAATTTCTCTCCAAATCTAATCCAGGCAATTTCGCTCCAGCTTTAGCTTCACTCCTGCTACAAAGTGGAGTGCACCGTGACATGTTTAATTCAGTCTATTACTTGGCAGCCATTAAACCATGACACCATACGATTCAAGAGAAAATCAAATTGAAATCTTAATCAACACCGCGCCATTTAACTTGCAAACCAATGCTTATATGCTTTCAATACCAGGAGACAAGTACCTCTTACTCGCTATTTCATCCAACCAAGCGTATGCCAAAAAACTTGAAATGAATTTGCGGATTTGTGAACTTTATGCCTTCTCGTCACATTTTTAAGGTTAAATCTGCACTATGTAACTTTTCTGGTGGAGTGGCTGCACCTGCTTGACTCCGTGGTGATGTTATTGCTTTGTCTGGAATGTTCCACAGTATAGCATTGAACTTGGCAATTCATGGAGATGAGTAGATGATACCAGGAGGCAAAGTTGCAGGTCAGATCTGTGGAGCGGTGACCCTGCTCACAGTAAGAATGCATGTATTTCAAGGTATTTTTTAGCAACTGAAACACCTGTAAGTGAATACATGCACGTTTAAATGTGACATATTACACAAAATTATGAGCTTTAAGTCATGTTATAATGTTGTTACCTCCTCGAAAACAGACCTGGAGTTGTGTTTTATTTCATTCACACTTTCTCAAAATGCTCTTTTCCACCTTATGATGTCATGAAGTGGTAGTTTTCAAGTTAACAGCTAATTTTTACTAGCCAGGCTGGTGCCACCTAGTGCCTCCACTCAATTTCACTTCTCTCCAGCGAGGTCAGGAATCGGAATACACTAGATGGTTTGCAAAGAGCTCTGGAAGTTGTAGACCTTGCACCGACCAATCAAGGAAGAGCTGTGAAGCCATGACGTCAAACTCAAGCGTCTGTCTGGGTCCCTTTTGTGGAACAGCACAACAGTAAACAAAGTGGTCGAGATGGATGTAGACGAAGATAGACATTCTGTGTTGGCAACGATTCCTGAGATCGAGGATTTAAAGCCGGAACAAAGAGAATGTTTGGTGAATTTTGTCAAGGGGAAAGACATTATTGCCCTTCTTCCTACGGGATTTGGCGCATTACATATTTGACTACTAAATAGCGGCGATTGGTTAAACAAAAAAGTACCCGCCTACCGTCAAGCGAATGAATCCTAATCCTGTGAGGTCAGACGGTTTCCATGAAGTGAAACCAGCTGATGAATCGGGCTATTCTTTTACCTTTAGTTCAGTAAAGATTGGCAATTCCAGAGCTGAAATCAACCAAATGATTCTAATGAAGGTGTATGGAATTTAAAAACACAGTGGAGCACTTCCTGTATTATCATGACATCAGAAGGTGGAACAGTGTTTTCAGTTTGAGAGAAGAACTCAGCCTAAATATGTTGGGTTTGTGTGTTAAATATGAGTGAATGAAACAAAACACAACTCCAGGTCTGTCTGTGATAAGGACATTATAACCGATAACAAAACAGTCCAATACAGGCCCTTTAAGACCATAGTGTGGAACATTGTGGGCAAAACAGTGGCATCTCCATGGAGACAAGCAGGTGGCAGGCCCCTCCACCAGAAAAGTCACACAGTGCACGTTTAGAAACAAATCTAACACAACATAAGATACCAGGCTTTCAATCACAGCTGCATAATACAAACCAAATAGTCTACTTGGTTCTATTGGTTAAGATTGCACTTTACAAGCAATAAATCAAAACCCAATCTGTATTTTATGACCCCAAATACATAAATGAATCTCCTTGAGCAGTTGCACCAAAATCCATTCACCAAACTCCGTATTGTTGCCATAACTTAGTTCCATGCACCGCCAGAGCTCCTACCTCCTATGTCGGGGCGCAGCGTCTTGTCGTATTGCTTGAGCAGATTGTTGAGAATATTCGTAGCGTCTGCTTGGTGCGACCTGGGGACCAACAGCTGATTGACAGCGGTATCGTGCTGATCTTCCTCATCTTCGTCGCCATATTCCAGTAGATCACAACTGAAGAAGAGGAGACAGGGTTGGGGGGGGTGCGTATTTTTTTTTGGGGGGGGGGGTGACATGAGACAAAACATAAGAATCGCTGAATGGTGCAGGTGCGATTCAAGACTGCGCACTAATTAAAGTTTGCGTCAAAATGCGCGCGTATTGTTTTGGTTGTCGTGGTGAGAGATTGGGAGCGCAGTGCAAGTGCGGGCAAAGTCTATAAACGTGAACGCGCGCGGGGATACGTGGGGAAAGCCCCTCCGAAACCATAACTCGCGTCAACCCATTTCCACCAGCGATCCGTGCAACTTTTAAAGCATCAATGGCGCAAACGGGCGTGCGTAATTGACTCACCGTGCTCCGTAGACGACCAGGAGAGCCAGGAGGAGTACACGTATGCCCGCAAACTTGATTGTCATTTTCCCATATATGCGGAGGATCACCTGTGCCGACCGAAAAGGTGCAGAAACGGAGACCCCGGGAGCGCAGTATCGGTCTCTGGCGTTAAAGTGCCCAGAAAATACGACTGTTTTCTTCAGTGAACTTCCTCATCCGCCCACGCGCTCTCTGCTCCTTCTTCTCCCGCGCGTGTCATGTGTGCCCGACGAGCTTGCACGAAGGAGGACGCGGGGAGGCGGGAAAAAACGGGGGTAGACCGGGTATGGTGTCCGTGGGAGCTGAGAATCAATGAGAGAAGTCGAACCGAGCTCTCTCTCTCTCTTTCTCTCTCTCTCATCCCCCGGTACACACCCCCTCCCTGCGCGCGCGCTTGTGAGTGTGCGTGTGCGTCTGTGCGCGCTAGGATGAAGAGGTTTTTGGTGACGCCGCTTGTAGCTCCTGTGAACCGCCGCTGGTTAGATGATCGTCTTTGCGCGTGAGTCATCCAGCAGTGTGCACCTGGATAAACTAAAGCCCGTTGATCTCTGTGTAATGATGTAATGCCAAAAACAAGGATATTTTGAGATAAACTTTGCAGTACTCAATATGGCAACCGATAAAGGATCAAAATAAGGCTCAAATCTGACGGAGAAACAACCCAGGCCTTCCACAGTATCAACAAAATCGTTAAAATCTTCAACTGACACAATTAAAAAAGCGTTATAACTATAAAAAAAAAGATAACATGTATTGGGGGCATGGACTATAGTTAAATTAAAGCTGCATTGTGTCATTTTTTTCCTGGTGAATCGTCCGTCAAATGCTTTTTTTTCATGGAGATGTTTCTGGAATGTTTCACAGTATGGCATTAAACCTTTCTATCTTCACGGAGACCAAAAAAGATCAAGTTACAGGTCAGATCTGTGGAGAGGCGAGCCTGCTCACAGTCAACTAAACAGAAGACGCAAAATTGGCATCGAGTCTTCTCTTTTCATTCCATGTTTAGACAAGTGTTTTCGGGAGGAAATCTGTGTGCATACGGTGACGCAAAAGTGTGTGGAATTCGATTGGGTGCCAGTCGAATGCCTGGTGGCTAAGTGGCGAAGTATATGACGTAAACATGTACGCGACGTGAGCAGATCTGAGCAGAGTTTTGCGTCTTGGGCAGTGTAGAAGGAAATGCTGTGACGGAAAGTATTCAACTTTTCCACTCTGGAGGGTGGTTTCAGATTTTTGCATTTTTAAGCCCCAAAAATGTCACCATCTAAACGAAAGGCACTTCCGATAAAATATTTTGTCGTTTTTTGCTCTATAAAACCACCTGTAATTTAATAAATGTAAAGTAGAGCTGTTTAATGCCATACTGTGGAACATTCTAGACAGAGCAATGACATAACCATACAAATGAGCAGGTGATGGACCCCCAACTGAAAAGTTACGCGGCGCACCTTTAAGCTAAAAGTGTGTATTCAATTTATTTTTATTTATAGTTTATTCCCACTTGTAATAGTTTATCGTTTTGCAAGACATTAATTCAAATTGTAGATAAAATTAAAACCAAAATTTCCAACGCACTTTTTCAATAGCTGAAACTCAGACTTTGCTCTATTTACATTTTAATTATAGTATTTTACGTAACTGACACTTCGCGACTTCCAAGAAAGATGGAGACCAATTAGCCGTGGTCTGATTCATCTAATTAACCAGCATTTTATAGATGGCCACTTTCTTTTGTTTTGGTCTCGTCCTGTTCTCCTTACAAAGCCCATTACGCAGCAGCATTGTAAGTAAACGACCAGTGAATTAATTAGACAAAGGTTAGGTTTGTTTGGGCCGCATATTAATGAAGGTTAATGTAGGGTTTGATAAAGGAACAGGGGGCCAAAGTCACGCACGGGCTGCAGCGGTGCGTAAAGACAACACCGGAGTAAATACGGCACAAAGAAACTGCATGGTTCCGGTTTAGGTTTTGTTTACTTTCGTTTTTTTCCCTTTTGTTAGTTTCTGACAATCCTCTCAACTGGAAGTCACATCCACTTGTCATTGGTCTCGCAAAGCCCCCTCCAAATGAAACGGTGGAGAAAGCGCTCGAAGAAATTAAGGGACATTACTGCCCTCTGGTGGTGAAGGATGATACAAACACAGGCACATTTTTATTGCTTTTTTGTTTTTTGTTTTGGAAAGAACATTTTTTAGGCCGGTTTTTCGTTCACATTTTTATTATCATTATTATTATTATCATTGTCAAAAGATGTTTTATTACAACAATATCACAACAAAACAAAAAAATAAATACAAAATTAATGATGCGTGGTTTACATAATTATTAGATTCTAAATAATTATTGCTTATTCACTTAGCAACGTGGGAAGTAGCATAAAGGCAATGGTATTTTAAAGGTGCACTGTGTAATTTTTTTGGTGTAGGTATATCACCTGCTTCTCTCCATCTGGAATATTCCACAATACGGCTTTACTCATATTTTTATCTATGGAGACAGCAGGTGTCGCCACAGGGCTAAGCTACTTGCCAGATCTGTTGAGAGGCGAGCCCACTCATTCTTATACGTTTAATACTATACCGGGGCATAACAGACGAAGCAACAACATCTCCATGGAGATGAGCAGACCAGGAAAGTTACACAGTGCACCTTTAAACTCATAGTATATAACTCATGCGTCCTTACCCTGACCAGGCTTGCATCTCAGCAAACCTGATTTGTTCTGTCTGGAGGGCGATCTTCTCCTGCTTGTTTCCATGGAAATTTTGTTTCTTTTGTCTTCCACATAATCTTCCACAGCATGGTATAAAACTTATCTATTTCCATGGGGAATATTCCAAAGTATGGTTTTAACTTTGTTTCCATGGAATTGTGCAGGTCACTTTCCACCTCCAGAAAGTTACATACTGTCACTTTAATGAAATGAATTACAAAGATGAGTAAAAGTGTCCAGTTGGTACAGGAATTGAACCAAGAAACTTCTACCTGAGATGGATAGAGGAGCTTATGTTTTAAAATACTACTACTAGTACTACCACTACTAGTACCACTCTTAGGATTACTTCATCCAGTGTCTCACCTTAAACCTGTGTCTTCTGCGCGTTTTCACACCAAGAATTTATCTAAAAATTGTCCGCTCGGTACTTGGAATTGAACCATGGACCTTCTTGCTACTACTACTATTACTATTACTATTACTACTACCACTATCACTACTACTACTACTCTTACTATCAATCAATCAAACTTTATTTATAAAGCACTTTTCATACAAAAATGTAACACAAAGTGCTTTACACAGATTACTACTACTACTACTACTACTACTACTACTACTACTACTACTACTACTACTACTACTACTACCACTACTACTACTACCACCACCACTATCACTACTACTTCTACTACTGCTACTACTACTACTACCACCACTATTACTATTACTACTACTACTACTACCACCACTATCACTACTTTTACTACTACTACTACTATTACCACCACTACTACTATCACTATCACTACTAATACCTCCACCAGAACCACCACTATCACTACTACTACTACTACTACCACTACTTCCACCACTATCACTACCACCACTACCACTATCATTACTACTACTATCACCAACACTGTCACTACTACTACTACCTCCATCACTATCACTATCACTATCACTACTACGACTACTACTACTACTACTACTACTACTACTACTACTAGCACCACTGCCACCACTATCACTACTAATACTACCTCCATCACCACTATTACTTCTATCACTAGCACTACTACTACTACTACTACTACTATCACTACCAGCATCACTACTACTTCTGCTACCACTGCCACTGTCACTACTACCACCACCTCCACAATTACCACTACTACTACAACTACTACAACCACTGCTACTGCCACTATGTATCACTACTACAACTAGTACTACCACTACTTTCAAACAGTGTATTTTGCATGTTTTCTTCTCACAAACATTGAAAGCTATTTGTTATTCTTGGTTCAATAAAAATCCTCGACGCCTCATCTGGAGAAGCCCTGTTCTGCATTGTTCATTAAAAAGACTAATGAAGATGATTGCGATTTTGCATAATCGCTCTCGAAACTGCAGTTTGAATGCGCTACATGATCAGGAATAATGATTTGCACCAAAAATAATGGATGACAATTAAAAGAAAAATGTTTCTTTGCTCTGATGTGGGATGTGGAGCCGTGGGCGCTGAACTGATCAGAATCTCCAAAAAACTAATTCAGATAGTGGAACAAACTTGTAAACAATCTTGGTTCAACATTTGTATTTATTTTAATAATTTACATGAGACAGTACAGTAGGCTACATGAATCAAATGCTAGCCCAGTTACAGCTACAATGACTCGTGGTTGTCATGGAGAATAGCAACAAAATTTAGCAAAAACTCAAAATGTTAAACAAGGTCTCAAGATTTGTATTTATTTTAATAATTTACATAAAATGAAACAAAAGGCTACATGAAACAGGATCGTACAAATGCTAGCCCGGCTATAGCTACAATGACACGTGGTTGTCATGGAGAATAGCAACAAAATTGGAAAATAAAAAGTCTCCCATGCTATCAGCGTTGCTATGTTGCTAGTTAATAAAAAGCTAGATGTAATTGTAGATGTTCTGTTACATTTCATAAAAAAAAAAAAAAACATTTTGAACAACTAGCGAAACAAACTTGTAAACATTCTTAGTTCAACATTTGTACTAATTTATTTTTAGGATACAATAGGCTACATGAAACAGGATTGCTGAGATGCTAGCCTGGTTATAGCAACAATGACTCGTGGTTGCCATGGAGAATAGCAACAAAAAACAAAACAAAAAAATAATAAAATTTTAAATGCGAAAGTCTCCCATGCTATCAGTGTTGCTATGCTAACCAACTGTTGCTAATTGTAATTGTAAATGTTATATTTCATTTCAAAACAAAGAAAAACGAAAAGAGGAAACAGTTTGAATGTTGTCATAGAGTAGTTTTCAAAATAAAATGG